GTTAGCCGCTTTGAGACTCCTGAAGGGGAGTGAAAGGCGGGATATCAAATCCAAACTCTTCTTTTTTTTCTTCATCTGGAGCAGCAATGGTAGGACGACAGAATGCTTTAATTCATTACAGTTGTGCAAACCTCAAGTTTTCATCCCTCCTGAAAATTACTGACAGTCTGGAGGTGCACATAGAGTGTTGTTGAACCCAAAGTGTCCCATTTTGGGCTGGGTCCTATTGGGGTATTCTGGCTAGGCATGTCCAAGATTCAGGTCACTGCACAGATGGGAGCATGGGGGTCAAATGCAGCCACCCAGGCCAGTTTGGCCTCTGGGGCTCTTCCTCAGCTACACCCCTTCTTCCAAGATCACACCCATCACCTGTCTTGCTTTGCACCCTCCTTGAATGTTTTTGCCTGACTGGAATGTATATTTCGACTTTGATAATAGTTATTGCTTGCTTGGATGGACGGACAGGTGCATAGATGGCTAGAGAAGGCTATGCAGGTGTGTAAAGAAATTAGCCTACAGTACAAAGGGAAAAAATCACGTCAAATGCCCCACCCACTTTTGCATCTGGCCCCACCCACCATTGCCACGTGGTCCCTGGGAGATTAGCAAGTGACTAATCAGAACCACGGAGAGCTCACTGGGAATCTGGATGCACAAACAGGCTTGATACCAGAATAACTGAAAAACCGGGGGCTTAGAGGGTAACCACTGGTCTGCTGTTGACTTAGCGTTGAGTAAGTGTGGGAAAGAGGTGTGTATGTGTGTTTAAAACTCCACTGCCCCTGAGGGACCTGCCCATGATATAAAGGGGCAGTACTCTATTATGGTGGGACGCGGGTGGCGCTGTGGGTTAAACCACAGAGCCTAGGACTTGCCGATCAGAAGGTCGGCGGTTCGAATCCCCGCGACGGGGTGAGCTCCCGTTGCTCATTCCCTGCTCCTGCCAACCTAGCAGTTCAAAAGCACGTCAAAGTGCAGGTAGATAAATAGGTACCGCTCCGGCGGGAAGGTAAACGGCCTTTCCGTGTGCTGCTCTGGTTCGCCAGAAGTGGCTTAGTCATGCTGGCCACATGACCCGGAAGCTGTACGCCGGCTCCCTTGGCCAATAAAGCGAGATGAGCGCTGCAACCCCAGAGTCGGTCACGACTGGACCTAATGGTCAGGGGTCCCTTTACCTTTACTCTATTATGGCAGCATGTGTGGGTGTAGTCTCAATGGGCTCTTGGCATAGTGTTGCTAATAGCTCCCCTCCTAGTCCTGACCGCTCCTCTGGCATATCACATGCCAGTGTCCACCATTACTGTGGCCCAGGGCCAGCACACTCTAGGCACTAGAAACCCCCTAGCCCTGGACAGGCATACCTGAACTGGTGCAGCAAGACTGTTACTGGAAGCCAAGCATGGTGGATCATCTACTTAACATACAGAAGTTTCAAGTTTAAACCTCAGCGTTTCCAGATAAGGCTGGGAGACATTCCCTAGAAGGCTGCTGCCAGCTGGTGTAGATAATATTGAACTACATGAACCAATGGTCTGTTCCTTTATAAGGCAGCTTCCTGTATTCCTGATATACTACACCCATGATGCAATACCCAGCCAAGGAAATAGTGTGTGTGTGTGTGTGTGTGTGTGTGTGTGTGTGTGTGTGTGCAGGTACAGAACCAACCAGGATCATCACCCACACAGGCAATGGCGATGGTGGCAGCAGGGGCCCTGACAAGGTGGTCTTATTCCTGGTGGCCCTGGCAGTTGCCTGAGTAGACCAGGTGCTGACACCAGGTCTGGTTGTATCCCAGCATGGCTGGGATGCTTATGGTCCATGTGCTTGGTGGATGGGTGGGTCTTCCTGGGCGGCAGGTGGGTCTGGGGAGGTTGGAGAGTCAAGTACCTCACTGCCCCCTGGAATTTTTCACCAGTAGACATTTCTAGTGGGGCAGCTACTTCACTGATTACCCCATTTACTTAAATAAGTATCCATTTCATTTCTGCCCCACTTTTCCTCCAATGAGCTCGAAGCAGCGTATATTCTCACCCCTCCTACACACAGGTTTTTTCTCACAATCACCCAGGAAGGTTGGGCTAAGGGAGAGTGATGGGTTCAAGGTGCCACAATGAGATTCATAGCTGAGTAGAGATTTAAACCTGGATCTTCCCAGTACTAAGATGATCATCTAACAGTTAGAGAGACCTACCACAGCACCACACTGCAATGATTCAGGACTACCATCACTGAGTCCTTGGAGCTCTTCTCTGGGGGGTGTGGGGTGGGGGACGTCCTGGTCTATGACACAAATCTGTGGCAAGTTCTGGTCTGCAGCTATGATGAGGAATGACTCCAAACATGCCAACATTTCCCTGAAAAAGCCAACTAATCTTGACTTACCACCCCACTTCATGAATTGCCCCAGGCTCGTCTAGAAGAGATGTGCTTTGTAAAGGCAGGATGATGACTCCAGTATGGAATTGTCAGTCCTTTGCAGCTCTTACCCCCAAAATGTCATTTCCCCCCCCTCCAGCACACTGCATTTCTTTGGGAAATAAATCACTAATCGGCTCATTACTCATTATCTAGTGAAGTGCCTTTCAGAAGGGTGGGTGAAAAATAGGGAAACTGCCTGTCTAAAGGTGTGTCCAGACCAACACATTCCATTTCTCATCATGGTGGCTGATTTAATTTGTCTTCTCCCAATACCCAAAACAGTTTACAACAATTTTTTGAAAACGTAATAAGCACCCTCCTCTTTAAAAAGTTAAAATCATCTCTATGATCAGTTGCTGTTCAAACATGCAGGAGATTACAATGGCAATTCACTACTTAAACGTGTGTGTTTTTCTGGCGAGGTCCGCATTCTGCTCAGAGCAATCTGTCAGGGGCCACATGCTGGCCTTTGCAGTAGCCGAGGTGAAACCAGAGACAAAAGTCTTCTGGATGAGCCAATCTGGAAAGCCAGGCGCCCACTTGCCATGAGGGAGCTGGTCAGGTGGAGCAGCATTCTTACAGCCCTTGTCTACACAATCAAGGAGTCCCTGAGTATGTCTAGCACACACACACAACCTTTCCAGACCCTTGCGGTTCACTTGCAGGTCACAGAGCGGCTTTAGGGAGTAGGGAATTCCAAGTATCAAAGATTATCATTACAGTGGTACCTCGGGTTACAGATGCTTCAAGTTACAGACGCTTCAGGTTACAGACTCTGCTAACCCAGAAATAGTACCTCGAGTTAAGAACTTTGCTTCAGGATGGGAACAGAAAACATGTGGCGGCGGCACGGTGGCAGTGGGAGGCCCTTTTAGCTAAAGCGGTATCTCAGGTTAAGAACAGTTTCAGGTTGAGAACGGACCTCCAGAACGAATTAAGTTCTTAACCCGAGGTACCACTGTACTTTGGAAAAGAAGGCATCCTATGCAGCACTTTGAAAGGAGCTGTAGAAAACCCAGCAAGCAGTTTCAGAAGCCCCTTTCCAAGCACAGCAAACCCTCCTCCTTTGGGGCAGGTGGGTGTGGCTTGGCTGGGACAGGCCTTGTGGGCCTAATTAGGCTTGTGGCCAGAGGTTACCCACTCCTGCTTTGTTGTTGTTGTTTAGTCATTTAGTCGTGTCCGACTCTTCGTGACCCCAGGCACTTCTGTCCTCCACTGCCTCCCGCAGTTCGGTCAAACTCATGCTGGTAGCTTCGAGAACACTGTCCAACCATCTTGTCCTCTGTCGTCCCCTTCTCCTTGTGCCCTCCATCTTTCCCAACATCAGGGTCTTTTCCAGGGAGTCTTCTCTTCTCATGAGGTGGCCAAAGTATTGGAGCCTCAGCTTCAGGATCTGTCCTTCCAGTGAGCACTCAGGGCTGATTTCCTTCAGAATGGAGAGGTTTGATCTTCTTGCAGTCCATGGGACTCTCAAGAGTCTCCTCCAGCACCATAATTCAAAAGCATCAATTCTTCGGCGATCAGCCTTCTTTATGGTCCAGCTCTCACTTCCATACATCACTACTTTACTCCTGCATCACTACTTTACTCCTGCTTTAGATGATCATGAATTCTAAGAGGAAGAAGAAATGAATCAAAACCCATTGGGGTTGGCTGGTGATTCTTTTTCAACTCATTCCGACCTCTGACTCACCACTTGAACACACAAACCAACAATGTGCTTGGAGTGAGTTCAGGGGGTGACTGCATTTCAACCATTTATATCTCACCTTTCTACACTGAAGTGTTCATAAGGTGTCTTGCAGCAAAACACCAACAACTAAGAAGCTTAAATACAAATTGCAAAAGCAGATCAACAAAATAATGATTTAAACATCCAGCAATTAAAATGTTAGTAGAGAAGCCAGATTAAATCAATGCTCAGGGGAATGGGACAATGTGGAAACCAGCTGCACCTCCCTTGGGAAGCTGGTCCCTCAACTGGGGCCATACCTGAGAGGGTCTCCCCTCTCTCATGTCCACTCAGTGCCTCAGAGGGTCTCCATTTATTAATGTTATGTAGAAATATTCATAAAGTGTGTAATCAAAATGTGTACATCAAATAAATTTTATTTTATTTGACAGAATTTGCACCCCACTGAATCATAAAAAAAACTCCAGGCAGTTTACATAAAATTTAAGTGTAATATAAAACAATTATCAAAACATGGTGAAAGTTCCTAGGACAGTTTATGGCGGTCTGCATATTGTGCAGCCAAGATCTGCCACAAATATGTCGCTGAGTATGGATCTGAAACCACCTCTTAGGGCTCATCCATACTTCCGCTTGTCCCACCACTTCTCCCCATGGAAAAGCAGCCCTTTTCCGCTGAATCAGAGTCCAACAACATCTGGAGGGCCACATTTTAGGCCATGTATATCAAACCATCTCTCAGGAGTTGTCTCTGGGAAATTACAGATCTGCATAGGCAGGCTGGATGTGAGAGGCAAATGGGCTTGGGGAAGGGCTTTGGTTCTCTGTTAGTCAACTGATCACTTCTCTTGAGAATGGAAAGACCACACTGTTCTCCTTCTCTTTTTAGGTCCTTGGCGATTGGCCATCAATATTCCTCCTTGGGAACTCAGCCCATCCTTTGTGGCAGCATCCCTGGCTTGGTGCCCAAGCAACTACGGTTCTGTCGGAACTACGTGGAGATCATGCCCAGCGTAGCCGAAGGAGTGAAAATCGGCATCCAGGAATGTCAGCACCAGTTTCGCGGTAGGAGGTGGAACTGCACCACTGTAAACGACAGCTTGGCTATCTTTGGGCCAGTGTTGGATAAAGGTGAGTACACAATGTTCTAAAATGAATGACAGAGATGATCAATTTGAGAAAATGGAATTGCGGGGTGAGAGTTTAGCTGATGAAATCTCTTGAGAAATAGACAATTTCTGTGTGTTTTTTCCTGTCTGGGGAATCAGACTGTGCTTGTGGTTTCAGTTATGCTCCGATGCAGTTGTTGTTGTTGTTGTTGTTGTTGGCATCCATCTTCTTGACATACAATGGAGTGTACCTCTGGGGGTAAAGTCAAACTGCTAAGTTAGTAGCACCAAAGTGACCTCCCTGTGCACAAGCCTGGGCAGTGTGTATATAGGGCCTCGGCTGCCCAGACGACAGAACAATCCTCTCAGCTTCACTGATGTGGTTCAAGGAAAAACAGATCAATATGTTTAGCATCAGCTTTGCTGAAGGAGTTGCTGGAAGGAGTCATGCAAGGCACCACCCAACTGTCTTAGGGACTCCACTCTGGATTTGTGTAGGGTTTTCTCCTTAGCCTTTTCTTCTCCCAAAGAAGGCAGTAGAGGTTTAGGATCAAAGCTTTCCTTCCCCTACATGGGCTACTTTCCCAGGTTGATGAGCCCCATCTGCCCCTCACTTCCCTCTACAGCACATGCAGAAACTACCTTTTTGACCGTTGGACCCATTATTGGTCTCGTCCACTCAATCTACTGGAGCAGGTCTTCACATGCAGGAGATGTTCCTAACTCACCAAGGCTTTGAGACCCACCAGGTATCCTCACCTAGTTTAGTCAGGCAGTCGAAACAGTTTCCTGGGGTGTGGCTGTTGTCTCATGCAATAGTAGAATTTTGAAGACGGTGGTAAGCAGGCATTGGCACCTGAAAATATGAGTATTATGCCCAGGGAGGGTAGCTGGGGAGTGCAGTGGCCAAGGGCAGATGGCCAAGGGAGGAACTCCTTCTAAGATGATAGGGTGGCTATCGCCATATGGTTGCCACCACTGTGTGCACATAGAGAACTCACGGTGCTGAGTTTGGATGATGTTGTGGAATGTTCCCAAACATTCTCACTGATTAGATGCAAGTTGACCATTAGAGATGTTTGGCCACGTGTAGATTTGGTGACAGAAATATAAGATCAGCTTGGATGGGAGGTAAACCTTCCACAGGATGTTGGGTCAAGAATGTCTATGTGTTCTTGATAGGAAGGAAGCACCAAAGCACAAATATTGAGGAAGTCTGGGTGCCAAGTGAATTCAGATGGAAGTAAACCAAGGGACATGGTGTCCAAAAGACAGGTTGGAAGGCTCTATATGGCTTTGAAAATCTCACCCAAGATATAGAGATGCTGGTTGGGGAATCAGGATTTGTTCTCAAAGGTGCACTCAGTAATAAGGTTTGCTGATGTGTAATGCATGAAATGGGACTTAGACTTCCTTATGCTGGCATTTGTTTGTTGATTTAGTTTATTCATTTATCTACCAGTTAGTGATTTGCATGAAATATGAAATATAAAGTTCCCAATAAAAGAAGTTAGCCTTTCTTCAAAATAAAGTCAGCAGTACACACACACACACACACACACAGAGAGAGAGAGAGAGAGAGAGAGAGAGAGATTATAAAATGAAATTACATATTAAAATACATGCCTGAGTAGGTTTGTTTAAACAATTTTTTTTAGCAGATGCTAAAAATAGTCCAGTGAAGGACTGCAGGGAGCAGTCAAGTGACCATATTATGGGCTAAGGGAACCCTTCAAGTAAACTGTTTCCAAGCTGTACTAGGCTTTATATACATTGAATTTTGCCCTGTAACAAAATAGCAGCCAGTGAGGGTCTCTGAGCTGAGATGCAGCAAGCTGACAGACTCTCACTCCTGCCAGCAATAGTGCCTCAACATTTTGCATTAACTGCTACTTCCTGGGCTAATTGAAAGGGAACCCCACATAGGGCTGCTTGTTCTGCCATTTTCTGCCAGGAGAGTCCATTGAGAGCAAACATCCACCGGGTTTTATGCAGATTGATGTTTGCTCCTGCTCATAGAATCACAGAATCACAGAATTGTAGAGTTGGAAGGTATCCCAAGGGTCATCTAGTTCAACCCCCTCCAATGCAGAAATCTCAACAAAAGCATCCAGTGGTAAAGAGGGGTTTTCCCAGGGAAAGTGGAGGGCAAGCAGAGAACCACTCAGACCCATGCCCAGAAAGCACAGCACAAGTGGAAATCCTCTCGAATTAGTGCTTTCTAGGCACAATACAAGTGGAAGTGTGGACAAGCCCACAGAATGCATTGCAGCACCTCTGCATTCAGTTATAGGTAAAGGTAAAGGGACCCCTGACCAATAGGTCCAGTCGTGACCGACTCTGGGGTTGCGGCACTCATCTCGCTTTATTGGCCGAGGGAGCCAGTGTACAGCTTCCGGGTCATGTGGCCAGCATGACTAAGCCACTTCTGGCAAACCAGAGCAGCGCACGGAAATGCCGTTTACCTTCCCGCCGGAGCGGTACCTATTTATCTACTTGCACTTTAAGGTGCTTTCGAACTGCTAGGTTGGCAGGAGCAGGGACCGAGCAATGGGAGCTCACCCTTTCACGGGGATTCAAACTGCTGACCTTCTGATCGGCAAGTCCTAGGCTCTGTGGTTTAACCCACAGCGCCACCCGTGTCCCTATATTCACAGTTATACGTATCCCCAAATTCATTTTTTGAACATGACCTCTGTTGAGATCAAAAGCCAGAGTCCTGCAGAAGAAATAGTCACCTTTGGAAGGAAGCAACTTTAGCATAAACACAGGCCTGGTTTAACTGGACTGAACTTAAGCCTCTCTGGGTGTAATTATGGAAATAGTTAGCAGCCTCATACACTTCCCCAAGGGACTGACACTGCTGTTAAGATTAGCTTACCCTGATGCTAGAGCAAACACCAATTGACCTCCCGTCAGAAGTGCAAGGCGACCCTTAGAATATGTTTAAGAGAGTCCATCTCGATGGTGATTTGTACGGTTGACCTTCTAAGTTCACCCTTGGGGGAGAGAAAGGCTAGGGCTTTCACTAGCAAACAGTGTATAGGGAAATTGTAGAAAGGACTCTCCTTTCCTTCTTTATGTGTACTGAATGAGGCTATGAAGTTGGTTATAGCAACTCGTTAATAGCAATTCCTAGTTCCCAGTTTTGATTCAGTTGCAGTGGAGGAACTGGGCTAGCCTGGACATCTCTGTACCTGAAAATAAGCCCTAAACTACCCCAAAATTATGTATCTCCACCATCAGCTGACACTGCCCCGCAGACTGCCCTAGCAGTGGTGCATCCCAGAACAAGCCTTAAGAACACAAGAAGCTGCTCAGCAAATTCCCTAGATAAGATCTAGGAAAATAGTCGTAGCTCAGTGGATGCAGCAACCTTGTTCTTGCAACCAATCCATATTGTATACGTACTTCATACATATCCAATAAGGAAACTTAGTGGCAGAGCACCCAATTTGAACATGAAAGGTCTCAGGTCCAATCCCTGGTGTCTATAGTTAGGGTTGGGAAAGAATCCTCTCTGAAATCCAGAATAGTCTCTGCCAATCCCAAATAATGAGTTAGAGGGACCAACAGTCTTATTTAGTATAAGCCAGCTTCCTATGATCTAGTATGGGGAAGGGCTGTAGCTCTGAGGCACAGCACTAACTGGGACAGTAAGTCCCAGGTTCTTAGATACCATTGTGTGTCACACAGACCTCAAAGCAGTTTCCATACAAATATAATTATAATTACAAAATCAACAAAATTTCATAAAATACAAAATGCACACCTTACTTTATAACCATTTCATGCCATTTAACAGCAGTAGCACCAGATAAAAGTAGTCTTCCTCCAGAGATTTTTAAAAACAAATGAGCTTTCACCAAGCAACGAAAGCACATTGACGTTGTGGCCATGCATGCTTTCAAGGGGAGGCATTCCACAACTGGGGAGCCACTGCATAGAAGGCCCTACTCCAGGTCCCTTTACAACAAGCAACACCAGTAGCGCCTCCTCTGTTGTTCTCCTATATACACAGCATCCCACTCTGACTCCCAGCTTCTTTGCTTATGAGGGTTTGATTTCATGGTCTGGCTCCAGTGATGAGCAAATCTGCCCATTTCAATATCTTCCATTTTTCCATTTTTCCAATCTAATATTGAGTTCCCCACCCTTCCACATCAGTTTGCAATTTAAAAAATTACATTTGTGAAAATTCATTAGCTTTTTAGTGTCCATTTCTCCTAATTTACATCTTTTTGTAAAGTAATTCCCCCTAATATATGTTATTTTTATGAATATATGCATTTTTAAGGCATACTACTATAGTATATGCATTTTTGTACACATTACTAGGCTTAAGAACTTCATTGCAAAATTCAGAGACATGTGAATTTCAAAGGATGGCTGCGTTTTGGCTCGTGTGTTGTTTCCAAAAGTGCATATTTGATAAATTTGCCTTTGAATGCAAGTTGAATCAAATTTCTCCCCCATTCCTACCTGGGTCCTCAATAAACCTACCCCCATCCTGAAAGTCCCACATTTCCTAGGCCCTCTAACACCACAGCTGACCAACTGCCAACCCATATTTTGTGAATTGCACAAGAACTATGTGTAGTTTGATTTTAAATTATATTTGAGATTTGTTGCACCAGAAAGCAGTGATCTGTGGGTTCCAAACAATTAGGGAGTCCTTTGGGGAAACTACTATCAGGTCTGTGCTTGGCTTTGGAATCTTCTTCTCTGGGCCTTGATAGGCTTTTGCAAAGACATCAGGTCTCACCGGACATCCTTTCTATTGTGTATGGATGAGGATTTGTGCCAATTCTGGTATCAGGACAGTTATACGCAATCCCACTTTCAAGAGTTTCAGGGCAGACATACTGCTTCATTTTCGATCAGTATATGTCCTGTAACTTCCTGCTGAAATCCTGTAAAATTTTTTTAATACCACAAATGTTCCAGTTTGTTTTTTGTCCCATTTTTGCTGTGCTGTGGCACAAAAGGGCCCCTACACATGGCACTAATGCAATAACATTT